GGTGAACCATGATAAGTCTGACGACGACATTTGGAGTATCGTTTATCGTAATAATATGTAAGACCATTGTCACGTCTTGAGAAGGAAAGTAAATACTCAAGTAAGCTCTTACCTACTGGGAATCTGCCCAAACCGAGAAACAGTTAAGTTGCAGGTAAATAAAGTCAAATCACAATATTAACACTGTATATAATCTAGTGACTCTAAATTTTGACTAAATTTGTAATTTACGGCTTACACGAGTTTATTGATGTCTATACCGATTATAGCACTATCCGTAATTAGGCAATACAAGTTTATCTTAAGAGCATATCCCATGGCTAGTTTATTCAGTTTTGACGGCATGCTATGAACTGAACTAACATAGGTGCATTTCTTTTGCGAAAGGTGTCAATGTGACAGTTTGCCGTTTACCAGAATTTATTGACTTCATTTTTTCAACTCTGTCTTCAAAAATTTGCCACTAATTTCAAGCAAAATAAGATCTGGTCTATTGACCAAGATGACAACGTTAATTGTATTGTCGAAAGCGAAATAAAAGTTTGTTTATGCAAATTGTAGACAATTCGAGTATTGTTTACCCGTGGTGAACACACTTACGCGAAAGATAATATATTACTCTCCCACTCAAAATATATACCAACCATAATCTTCTCCAATAAGTTGAACTGCGTCTGTTGGATTGATAAGCGATTAGTAGATGGCTGAAGGTAGCATCAACCGTTCCGGTATCTACAAACTTTTTAATCTTATGATTGCACTTGCGACATAATCAGTTCAGTCAAATGTACTATTCAATCGGAGGATTTCAGAAAAGCAACGCATGTACAACTATTAAACTATGTAGACTTTGGGAAAGCATATAAAGTTCTTGTTTATATAGCAAGTAAGTTTAATAGATGATGTACAGAGAAGACATGGGAGCAAGAGAACTGATTTATTAATGTGCAATATGTTTGCTCTGAATAACTAGTTATTAATAATGCTCAATTTTCTCAAGCTTCGTTCTGGATGGCGGACTTTTTGAAAGCAAAGAAAGCTGATGCAGGCTTAATCTGGTGGCCTCATACCAAAACTACTCGCGTTGAACATAACTAACAATAAAAAAGCCCCCTTCCCCGCAACTGGCCTTTGATTCGGCGGCGCTTTTGCCACGGACGGGCATAATTTTGCGGTGTCCAAAATGCGGTTTTTTATTGCTTTTTTTAATTTGAACTTCACTTACTCCGTTAGGTGATTTGAAAAAAGTATCCAAGGTATATAAAAGAAAAAGAAACAATGTTTTTTGTCCTCAACTAATTTGGCGCCGAGGGCATGGAGGTTAAATAAGACCGCCCGCTTGTACTGACCTAAACTCTCTCACACGTCAAATCGTACCAGCCACAAATTCAACATTCTCCTTTGGTGTATTGTTTAAAAGAATGCGATAACGCCTGCAATGTTGATTTACCATCTACCTAAAAATTTATAAAGCAAATGAGTGGCACGGAGGTGAGTTCCAGATTCTGCTTAGCGTGCCACCAAAATTTTGTAGTCACGGGACTGCAAATTTACGCTCAACACGTGTAAAAAGAATTGCAATACAGTAATAAATCACATAGATGTTTCTGATGCTAAGGTTCGATACACAGAATTCTTAATTAGCAGATGATTCCATTTAGATTACATTTACCATTGAGCACGGTAAGTTTTAGAGATATAATAACGTGCTGTGTACGTTTGTCTACTGTTAATGTCAAATGATTTCATTGTAGCTATATTGCAGAGGACCATCGATCTCGCCAAGAGTTATATGCAATGCCAGGCGACTTTATGTTAGACCAGCATCAATATGCAGGAGCAAAATCATCGACAATATAAATCTAAAGCCGCTGTTGCGAACGAGAAATGACTGGTTGAGTATAAGGTGACGTTTTATGGAGTGGAGGAAGTAAATGAAACTATGCTTATACGATATTCACCATATCATACATTCTCTCAGACATTTCAGTTGGTCTACTAAATTATCAAGTACGTTGAATGTAACTATATTGATTGAATTCAAGCATGAGATATGATCTAATATAATAAACAATCAGAGGCGATAATCAATTTACCGAAACTGTCGCGGACGCGAAGAGTATCAGGATCAATTGGAAATGACATGTTGACAGCAGCAACAGGCGTTATCCTATCGCTAAAAGTTGTCCAGCTTATTAATAACCCGTACATATTAAGATGTGAAGGCTTTTTCAATTACAATGAAAAAAGTATGTAGATAGCAATTGACACTAGCACTCCGACTTTGCTCCTAGTCGTTTACTCAAACGTCAACATGTTGGCAGTTATTAGCATAGACAAACCGATACGAAAGCATCAGAATGCTGCTGACAACAGAAGATCGGTCATTTATGACATATGGCAGCTGGTCAAGCCCGACTTGCTACTACTAATCACAGTTGTAATTACCGCTATTGCCGCCGCGGTGACAAACTTAGCGACACCAAAGATTACCGGAGAATTGATCAATATTATAGCCGAGTCTATCAGCAAAGGATCTCTTGTTTTGGATGATCTCAAAGAACCTGCCATGAAGCTGTTGGCGTTATTCGGAATTCAAGGTGTGATTCACTACCATTAAAGTGTACAATTAGAGTGTACCATTAGAGTGTTATATTATCTAAAGCCGTTGACATTGACAATGTATGCCATCTCACGTTCATATAGGATTCCTGACATTTCTTCATATCTCGTTTGTGACTATTCTCGGCGAGAATATGGCAAAGCGTCTCAAGCATCAGTTGTTTTCTGCTATTATCCATCAAGATATTGCATTCTTCGATAAATATAGATCCGGAGAATTGGTTAGTAGGCTGACCACCGATGTTCATGAATTCAAGGTAGGTTATTTATCTGGCATGCTTAATTGCTATTATTTGCATACTCCAATCATGCATTAAATACCAGTCTTGCCTTATTAGCATACGTTTAAACAGATCATTACTTTGGTAAGTCGGTATTTCTCATCACCAAATATACGCACATTCTATCTACATACTTGTTCCCATTAATTATCAAATACAATAAATGTTTTTAGGGTCTAAAGGCTGTCACTCAGACAATTGGATCGGCAGTTACTCTGTTACGTATCTCGAAATCGCTAACATTCACTCTGTGCGCCACCATGCCTGTTATTTACGCATTGCTTAACGCCTATGGAGCGTATCTGCGAGAACTATCGAAAAGGGCCAGATCTATAGATGCCATTGCTTCGGGTATTGCTGGCGAGGTAAATTGAGATATGATGATAGTTATAGCGCGTAGTAAAGTAAAGTGGCAGACATTGGTGTGTGTGCAACGGTTTGCTGTTCAATTCATAAAGTTCAACTTATTTATACCTGTTTATAGGGCATTTCCAATATCCGTACAGTACGTGCTTTTGCAGCCGAAGCAAGAGAAACGGAATTCTATAGTGAAGTATGTAAAGACGTTGCTAAATCCAACATATTACTGGGATACAATGTGGGTCTATTCCAAGGTGAGCGGCATGTAATTGATCAGATAGAGTCGACACTTGCAAAATCATGCCTGAATAATAACCACTTATATGTGTTTTTGGTAGGCATGACCAATTCGACAATAGGATGTATGGTAAGTAGCGTGTTAAGCATTGCACTGGTCTTGTTAGGTAAATTAAACAAGTTTTATTCATAGGTGCTCATCGTCTTATACTACGGAGGGTCACTTGTGGTAAAGAACGAAATTAGTGGTGGAGATCTCATGAAGTAAGCATTAGAGAATCCTTATTAGATGAGAACACAATAATTGAACTGCTAAACTCTGATTAACCGCGTATATTGGTATCCAGTTACATGATTTCGGTACAATCAACTCAAAAATCTCTTGGTAATTAAAACTGGATTTTTACAAAGGCTAATACCATCGCGTTTACCTACTCACCGAGAAATAACAATTAAATAATGAATACAGTATCACTTGGAGTTCTCTTTGGTCAGACAATCAAGGCAGCGGCTTCAGCAAACCGCGTATTCGAGTTTATACACACGGAACCTACTATTCCTCTAGCGGGTGGGATTGAGCCAGATCATGTGAAAGGTGAGAGAGACGAAGAATCGATTATACTATAATGCTAGTCTGTTAAACGATGGCAAAGTGTTAATATGGGCCACACTGTCCCGATAGGCGATCTTGAGTTTCGCAATGTCAACTTTAGGTATCCGACACGGCCAGATCAATTAATACTCAAGAATTTCAATCTAAGGATCCCAAGTGGAACCATGGTCGCGTTATGCGGACCATCAGGATCAGGAAAGGTAAGAATGTCTTTGGAACATTTTTAGTCAACTATCTCTGACTTACTACTTTGTCAACATGATTTACTACCGGTCATCTCCGATGAGAAAAGTCTACGGTTGCAGCACTAGTGAGTCCATGCCATCATTTCCGTACAGCCTTTTCCTTTACCTCTTACTACTTTCCACTAACGTCCAATGTTTAATATAACACACACAGATCGAACGCTTTTATGACCCAGATGCCGGTGAAATTATCCTCGACAACATATCATTACCATCACTCGATCCCAGCTGGCTGAGACGTCACATTGGGTATATCAATCAAGAACCTGTCCTATTTGCCACTACCATTTATGAAAACATTCGCTATGGGAAACCAGACGCCAGTAGAGAAGAGGTTGAGGAAGCGGCAAGAAAAGCTAATGCGGCTGATTTCATTGAGGGATTTCCAGCCGGATACGATACTGTACTTGGCGAACGGGGAGTTACTTTGTCTGGAGGTAAGAGAGAAGTGTGTGAGGTGTGTGGGGTATTGTTTGTATAGAGTGCGAACGTAGCATGTAATGACTAGCCCATTGATAACTAGGTCAACGACAAAGGATCGCAATTGCACGTGCTATTCTGAAAGATCCCAAGGTACGTATAAATGTGCGAGCAAAAAATTGGGCGTTTACTCGCGTATATTTGTTTACCGAGAATGATTGGGATTCTATAGATACTGATATTGGATGAAGCGACGAGCGCATTAGGTAATGTTTCTCCATATTATTTTGATGTATATGTATGTTTGTAATGACGACACGGTTTATCTCAATCTCTACATACGATCTTCTTTTTTTTTTTTTTTTTTTGCATTCGCTAAAGACAGTAAGTACAGTTTTTACTTATGATGACGCACACACACGTATACACTCTCTTCATCATGAATACTAAATGGATGAATCTTTGTCTTTAAGATCAATCAGAGAAGCTTGTACAAGAGGCTCTTGATAAACTCATGAAAGGTCGAACTGTTGTTGTCATAGCACACCGGCTATCTACAATACAATCTGCTGACTTGATTGTAAGTATTTGTCATCTTGAACGCTTTGCGCGCGATTCAATTTTTTACTTAACGTTAAATACTATTTGAAGGTTGTTATGGGACGCAACGTGGGCAACGTGATCGAGCAAGGTAAGACATCATTCTTGTGAAAATAATTATCGACTTGTCCTTTCCTTCCTGCTAACTCGACGATACCCCTTCAGGCACGCATCGCGAACTGTTGAAGAAGAAGGGAGCGTATTTCCGACTTTACAACCAGCTAGCAATGGATAATGATATGTTGTTATGATCATACATCATTATGCATAATAAAGACTAGCAAGCAGAACATTCGAATGCTCATTTTTATCCCATGCCAAGCAGGAAGCCCCAATTCTTTGTAGGTACAAGATGAAGTTTATTGATAAATGATGCAAGATAATATATTATTTACAACCGAAATGAATAAAGTAAAAAAAAAAATATAACAAAAGAAAGCCAAGCAATCTCAGTAAATACAGAAGAAGAAAAAAGATAATGATGAGAAATAAAATAATAAAATGAAGGATGATATATTAAATGATTTGATATGAAAAAGATAGTGTGAGACTATCGAATGGAAAAAAGGATGAGCTATAGACCCCTTGTAATAAATTGCGAAATACTCCAAAAATAGAAGCATCGCAATCATTACGTTGACAGGGAGAAAGCTCCAAGGGATATATATAAGAACATAGATCTGTAAACAATTTGGAATTGTCAAGATGTATACAAGTAGAGGGGTAAAGAAAGCTAAAGACTTTAAAAGCTTTAGCTTGGACTTTTTTTTTCTTTGTGATCACAGAATAAAACGCACTTGTAAGAATGCGCGGGGTAAATATTGAGTGGTTAAAACTGGTGGGGTGCAGCAATAGATTTTGCAATGTGAGTGTTTCCATAACATTGACTGTTTCTCTTTCCGCAGCCCATCACCCACTCACCTGATTTTTTTTTTAAAGGTTAATACCAAAACTCCAATTTGCTTTTTTTTTGTTGTCGGGTTGTGATCTTTTCCTTTTTGTTTTAGTTTTTGTAGTCTAACAAAAATCTACAAATGGAATGGATCAACAGTTATAGTGAAAGAAGGTTTGTATTTGACAAGGTCGTTTGTCTGACCACAAGCAAAACTTTAATAATATATATAATGTTATCAAAACAATTTTCTCTCAAAGACTGCAGCTAAGAGAGTTTCAGAATAAGAGAATGAATAAAATTGAGTGGGTTAATGTAAAGAACGTAAAAAAGGGGGTTGACATAATGTACATATTGAAGGAAGGAAAGGGTATAAAAGGGGGGAATATAAAATCTATTGATTATATAAGTCTAATCGTTAGAATTTGGCGCCAAATCGGCAGATCAGCTGCGAACCACCACCAACGGAAGGAAAAACGTGTGCGAGGATGATATGTAAAAAAGGAGGAAAAATGGTGTTATACGGAAGAAACTAAAAGAAAACCTCTATGATTGTCGTTGTAAGCGGAAAAAAAATGAACATAGAGACAAAAGTGGTGTCGATATTATGAATTAAATTAATCTAATCTGTGAATGATTATATATTGTCCCCCAGAGTGTGATGATGTTAATGAAAATGAATGAATGGAATATTAAAATTAAGATGGGAATTGTGCATATCTCAATCTTAAGGTCTTAGAACGAAGTTTGAGTCAACCTCATAGAAGCATAAACAGTTCAACTTGTGTCCTAGGTATTATTTGGCGTAGAGTATAGAAGAAATCTTGATTGCATGTGTGAAATTAAAGATAGATAGGGAATGGTATTTGCTAAAGCTTTTTATACAAGCTCATTAATTAATAGTATTGTTCGACGCCAAAATAAAGCGTCGTTGTCCGTGACGTTCAGTAGTATCGAGACGTTTAGCAGTAAACGTTACCATTCACCCAAGAATCAAGAGCGGACATGCAATCATTACCGCCACCGAGACCATCGCCAAAATCCAAGAGTTCCGAAGATTCATTTTGAACAGCGGCAAGCAGGCTAGCAAAATCGTCTGGTAGGCCACCGTTATTCATATAAGCAGAAAAATCATCGCTTAGCATGCTGTTGTCAAACTGGGCCATGCTAAAAGGATCTTCAGTGAGAAGCGGAGAAGTATCAATCATTTCCGAAGTAGTATCGAACATATCCAAAGGTGTGGGAGGAGAGTTACCGTCCAATGGCGAGCATGTCACTGGAGAAGTATTACTGTTCGGGCCCACGGCGAGATCTTGTCCATTTGCCCGCATTCTTTGTTTGTATGCAAATTCTGTCGTATTAATCTGAAGACCTAAGTGATTCTGTGCCATAGCAGGTGTAGCAGTAGCAAGAACAGAACTATCGGCAGGAAGCTGTTCAGGTGAAACGGGAACAGAAGCGCAGCGACGTGAACGGTTGAGCATCTGTTTGTTTGGCATGTTAATAATAGTTACTTCTTCATCAGAGAGAGAGTCCTTTTCAGTAGATTTAGGGAATGAAGATCTACGAGATTGTGGCTGTTGCTGTGCTTGTTGCTGTTGTTGCTGTTGCTGTTGCTGTTGCTGTTGCTGTTGCTGTTGCTGTTGCTGCTGTTGCTGTTGCTGCTGTTGCTGCTGTTGAGATATTGCTGCTTGAACATTAGCATAGTTGATATTTCCATCTTCGACGATTGTTACGACTTTGGCAACTTGAGGATCATCTTGGACCAATTTCAGAATTTGCTTCTTCATAATCTCAGATCGTCCCTTTAGTACATGTCTGAGATGGCGAGTAGCTTGACTACCTTCGGTAAAGTCTTTGCACATGGACCAAGATCCATTACGTTCCATGTAGAAGCTAGGTGGGTCCTTGACTTCGATTGCTACTTGACAGGTATTATGATCTAGAGGTCTGTATTCGATTGCGGTGATTTCCGAGAGCGGGAAATCCATCTTGAAACGGGATCCTTCGTTGGTGATTTGATACGTGAAAACTCGTTGCGGGAGAGCGTAGTAACAAAGCAAGTCTTGTGGCATGCTAAGAATACGACGCCATGAACCGATCATTAGGATTTCACAGGAAATTTGTGTAAGCGAGGGTGACGTAAACTCTTGTGTAGTTGTGAACTGTTGAGGTTGAACAGAAATTGGGGTATCTAAAGGTGAAAAAAGAAAAAGGTAAAATTTTGTAAGAGTTAGTTTTCTCGTATAAATCACACAGCTCTTCTAACCACATAAACCACACAAAACACCACAACCCATTTTCTCGTATAATTACCATTCATTTTCATTGGTATCCCACCGGCGGGATTACTGGGGTTAACGACAAGCCGCAAAGGCTGCGAAGCATTAACATCATTGACGTTTGGACTAGCAGTAGGCGTGATAGGGAACCTCGCCTGAACGTTACCAGCCGAGAAGGGGAACCCACTCATTACATTAGGGTCTGAAGACATGTTAGTCAACGGCGCAGTCATGGGTCCTGACGGCCAGAAATTTTGAGACATTTGTGGGATAGTGATTCCCAACCCGGTTGGAGGCTGTGGACGCAACGTGGGATTGATCCCAACATTGGAGATATTAATATCGCTGTTGCTATAAGAACGAGGAGGAAGAGCTATGCGGGGATGCATCGGAGCTACGCGGAATGGATACAAGTTACCAAACTGTGGCATGCACAGAAATTGAACTTTCATGTTTTCCTCGCGCATCATATGAACACGCTTCTGCATAGCCTTCATCTTTGCTCTACGATTCTGGAACCAGATCTGAATCGAGCGTTCGGACATGTTGACTTTTTCTGCTAGGGCTTCGCGGACTTTGCTATTTGGGGAGGTATTTGTCTTGAAGGTCTCTTCCAGAATAGCGAGTTGTTCAGGAGTAGCACGGGTGCGTTTCCTGTTATTTGTTGGCATTGGCTGAGAGGGGGAGGTGGTGGTGGTAGTGGTGGTAGATGGAGATTTGGAAGAGTTGGGCTTGCCAATTTTGCCGACATCGGCAATCTCCTTGTTCGCTGGCTCAGCCTTGCTGTTGTCGTCAGGGACTGTTGCAGTTGCTTCGGTGCCCTTTTGTGAATTAGATGTGGCATCATCAAGAGCCTTTTGAGAGGTGGTAATCACGGTAGTACCAGCACCGTTTGGCTCTACGGCGACGGCATCCTTATCGTTGTCATTATTTGCAGCTGTAGAGTAATGCATGGGAACAGAGAACGGGTCCGTAGTGTATTGGAAGAATGAGTCGCTTATGTCTTCGTCCATGCTACTACTTGGTCCCAGATAGGGACGCTTTGATGGTCTTTCTGATAAGGGGTTGTAGTCAGTCATGATTGATGCTGTCGTCGTATAGGAATTAATGAATGGATTTTTATACTATCTTTTAAACCCAAGTCAAGCTCGACTAGTTTTAGCTATTGAGGGAGGGAGGGTGGTGATTTGAAAAAAGAGTGTAAAGTAGAGAGTGGTGGTGGAGTTGGTGAGGTGGAAAGGAGGGGCGGGCGAACGAAAAAGAAAAAAAAAAAAAAAAAGATCGAGCGTTAGTAGGGGTCTTGTCAAGAGAGGGGTCCATACGCATATATAAATAAAGATTGTAGAGATAAATAAATGTATATATTGTGTATAACAAGTATAATATAAAATTTTCATATAATATTGTAGTTAACGTATTATTGTTTAGCTATGTGACATGTATTGTTAGTAATGGGGATTATATAATTAGAAGGATTTGTTTCCGATATACAACACTAACGCTATCGAGTAAACTGGGTAGCGAAATATAGGGGAGGAAAGGACACATATTTCGTGATATATATTTCGTAAGATTAAGAGTTTTGTTTTTGGTTTTTTTTTTTTCGTTCCTTCCTTACCTTTACAAAGGGCTGCCTTCGTCACTGATATTAGGAAAGAGAATAAGTTTTGAGTAGAAGAGAGCAGTCAAAAGATTCTATCTTGAGATGCTTTGTTCTGATGTATGGAATGTGAGAGAGGAGAAGCGAGGGAAGGCGAGGGAATGAAGAGGAGAAGGGAGAAGAATGTAGAGATGGTAAACCTTGGGGGGGGGGATAAGGATGTATTGCTAAAGAGAGAAGAAGAGATTGTCGAGCTCGCGTAAAGAGCTTTGGGTTTGTATGGAAGAAAGAGCTGGTAAAAGAGAGTAGTATTTAAAAGAAGGAATAAAAGGGCCCTAGGCAACAGTGTAAAGAGTCAGAAGGAAAAGAGGATTGGCGCAAGGTGGTAGAGTTTGGGTCGAGGGGGGTAGATATTCACCCAAATTTGGGCACGAGGCGCGCGCTGTTTGGTCCAGAATGGGAGCAAAACTGCCCAGTCATTTCAAACAAGGAAGAACCAATAAATAGTACCTGTGGTATAATAATATAGTATAAATGCATTATAAATGGTAAGAGGTTGTATGTATTGAATGGAATGGATGGGTGGAATGTTGGGATGTGGGTGGATGGATATGGATTGGATGTGTAATGGAAAGAAGGAAAAGAATTGCAATATAGTTGTAATGTATTGGATATTTTTGGTATTTGTTTGAAACATCATTTAATAAGTACATACACATCAATGGAATATATATGTACTGTGTATTGTTATGTGATGTTTCGATATATTGATATTGATTGATGTTGGTATTGGTATTGGTATTGTATTGATGTTGATGTATTTATTTATATACATACATACATACATATCGATACTACAACGTGTATCATGTACAATGTCAAAAGATCTATTATATTATTTATACTTGTCGTAGTATATTTTGGTGCTACTCCTATTCGAAAATGTCGAAAATGGCACGCATGTCCTAAATGTTATTAGCCTCATTAGGGAGGAGCGCGAATACATTCTAAGATAGCCTATATTTCTAAATCGATCATACATATACTCGTTTTAGACGTATGGTTTTACTACGCCTCAGAGTGTGACGTATCACCAACATAGAGTATTACCAAGCATAAAACTAAAAAGTGTGACATAAAACGTATGACGACGATAACAGTCGTAACAGTCGTATAACAGTCGGTGAAAAAGAGATTACTGACTGTTACAAAGAAGAGGGATTAGACAATACTAGCTAGTATAGCATACACTTGCACTGTACGCTTTACTAGTTATATACTACACACTATACCCTATATACCCTACATCGCCATACAATACGTCATCATATTCCCACAACTTTTAACACGTAATTTCTGGAATACGCTTTTCTATCATCCTTTCATTGCCCGTTATAGAAACATTAGTAATGTAGATGCCGGGATGCGTGGTCGAAAACATGGATTGATAAGTACTAGCAGCAAAATGTGTTTGCTGCTGCTGCTGCTGCTGTTGTTGTTGCTGTTGTTGCTGTTACTGAATTCGCTTGTACCAATGATCAGCTGCATGGACAGACGACGGCAACTGTCGAATGTTATACCGAATGGTTTAGCATATACGTACGACTGTCCTGTGAATAAAGTGTTTTTATACACATACGTGTATATACTTGATAAATTATTTTGGGTAAAAAAGATTCATGGCAGTTATCTCCTTTATTTGTTATTTGTTATTTGTTTATATGCTATGTGTATGCTATGTGTATGCTATGTGTATGCTATGTGTGTATGCCTATGGTTTATTATGTTTATGTTATGTATATCTTTTCTTTACTTTTTTTTCTTACTTCTCCCACACATTCCCCTTTCCCTCATTCATTTATTTGGCGTGCTTGTTTTCTTCATCCGTCTGGGAATCTAGACTCTTTATTGTTGTGCGTACGTGTTTACTATGCATTCTTATGAATGCATACCATTCATTCCATTCATTCCATTCCATTCAAACCAACATTTTTCCTTTATTTCCCTTCCCACCATTCTACTCTACCACTCTACCACCTCCCATTGATTTCTATATTCGTCAATAGTCAGCAGACGCGTATTTCTCATTCTCTCATGTGCATGTAGCTTATATTGTTACAATGCTTGGCCCCGTCGAATATTTACTTTGGGTATTAATAATGGCTCCATTACCACGCGGTTGGAGTAATCGTGGACAAAACCCAGACGGAAAAACGTACGTCCCATCATTGGTGCTAATTGTTCTAGTTGTCACACCCGAGAACGTGAGGATAAATAATGGCAATAGTCATAAGGGTAGATCGTAGATGGAAGCCATGGAAGACGTTCTTTAAAACGGAGACGGTCAGTAAACCTTCATTGTGACTGGGATATAAAAGGGAAATATGCAACTTGCGCTACCAACCATATCATTGGTATGCGTTATTTGTTATACCAGTTGTTTCACTATCTTATCTGTTATCGTTATTTATTTCCGATTTCTTACATCTGATCTTGTCTAATCAAATTAAATCCGCTTATCAACCCGGTTTCGATTCTTGGACTGAACAACTCTTATACCCTGCTGCTAATTTAAATGTCCAATCAACTTACTCACACTAATCATGTTGGCGTACTTGCAGATAGATATCTCAGTCTATTAACCTACTCGCTCATCCTACTCGCTCATCCTATCCACTCTACTCACTCGCTCGCTCACTTAGTCGCTCGTACCAGGTGGTAGTCGACGCAGCTGGGTCCTGGTCCTGGCCCCGGCACCTTTTCTCATTCAGATTCAGAAAAGCATTACTTGTTTCAATATATGCATATCAAATATATATTTATGCGTGCTGTGTCCTGCCGTAAAAGTTGTGTAAACATTCTGAGCTACATTGTTTGGTACAAATTTATTACTGTAACTGCCTCAGGCCACTGTTATCCGGGTTGTGTAGCAAACATTTTACATTTTATTTTCGTTATTAGATAGCTGATCTACTTGGGCTTGCGCGCAGTTTCGGAATATTGTACCTAATAATCGAATGTATGATCACTCAAACCATATTAATTCATATTATTAAGCCATTATCCCCGAAAGTAACCACCAACGGACTTTAACAAAACAGTATGACAGCGCAGCAGACTATAATGTCATCATGTCTATTCAAGACATAATGCATATCATGGACCTGTAATCCATCAATCGATCTTCCAACCCTCTCCCTCTCCCCCTCCCCCTCCTCCATAACGTTTTACTTTTATGTCGTAAAATGCATTGGCGCATACATTCGCATTCACCAATCTCTTTCTGCTCATCCGATCAAAAATATGCATCTTGTTGCCACGTAATACCTTAACCAATTCCCTGACTGGATACACACATGCCGTATGAATTTAGCTCGGCAGGATAAACTACCTGTTCTGTAGTTAGTTATGTGACAGAGTTCTATGTAATTACTAATTGAAGCTAGATAAAATTATTCATGTGAGATTTTAAAGTAACGCTGTAAGACCTGTGGTGATATGAAGACGAGAGTACAAGGAAATGAGGTGACAAAAAACAAACAAAGCATTAGTAATTGAAGAAAGCATGAGGTCAGGATAAGAACCACAAAAAAAAAACCTTTACGACAGGTGCGTTGTTACAATAACAACCGTAGCTTGGCAGGCATCGCCAACAGGGAACATATGATTGATACATGGTCAAGTGAGAGAGAAGAAAAGTAAAGAAGAGAGGGTGTGCTAACATTGGGTTGTATAACGTATAAATAACAAATACACATATATACACACATACACATATACTGCAGTTTAACAGTTTATCGTAATTCGTTACTGTACTTAATAACACAATGTCGATATACAATAATTAAGTTTTTCCTTTCTTTCAATCGAATCCCCGTTATGGTAATTTTAGCCGTACCAATATAGAAAGCGGATTTGTAAGTGATACTATTAGATTGGCTCCGTGGAGAATAAACTCATCGCACTGGGCACCCTGATGCAGCTGGGCAGACATGTCTGCTCAACTTCCGAACAAATATTTGTTTATTACTGGATATAGTAATATCAAATATATCAGCCCTCCCGGCCATCTGAGCAAGAGAGAAAAAGGAAGAGAAATAGAGACATATATTGTATATGATTAGGTATTAGCTCCCCTCACTTCTCTCCTCCCCCTTTCTTTTTGTCGTTCATTGTTGTCACCCATGGAAACGATAATCCCTATTCCCAAAACGGGTCTTTTCTTTTTCAGTCAAGACAACGAAGGAAAGCCCGATTGTGTCATCGAATCGGGCAAAAATGTAGATACCCGTGTGACTACGACCACGGAGAAAGAGTTGACATGAGAGTAACAATTGACAAAGCGTACATGGGCTTGTCGAATAAAGAAGTATACACACAAGGTAAAAAACAAATGAAACCTTGGGTGCTATGATACACTCAAGGAAAAACGTTGACCTACGCATGTGGATCCTTTCCCAAAATCTCTTTCCGATGATTACCTACACGCATACATAAATTGTAGTTGTAGTTGTAGTCGTTGTAGTCGTGTATAGTCGTAATAGTAGTCAGTCATTATTTCGCTGCATGATCACCCATCGTTTGACCATCGTTTGACCATCGCCCAAATATTTATTCTTCCGAGAAAACGGCCCCCGGTTTAACTCATCGGTCCGATGTTTCATCAACAAAAGAGAAAACGGAAAAAAGAAACTAATGCTAAAGACATTAGATATAAATAGAACATATTGTACTAAATACATATTATTAAATAGGGACTAGGTAACGAGATGCGCAAAACAGTGTCTTTTTTGTATAAATGTATTAGACTGTTTTGTACGATTCCAGTTCGTACGCATTTACACATTCTATCGTACACACAACACGTTTTTTCTACCGTACACAACCTGTAAAAAGGAAATATAGGCAAGAGAGAATGGCGGAATGAGAGAGTGAGAATAATAAATACTTTTTTTATTATTATACAAATAGCGTAAATCGCAGAGATGGCGGCGTCAATCAGACAGTGGCGTTTGTCCACAATTCGATACAACATGCTATTGTGTTTCGGCATTTGGTATTTTTACTAGATATGGATTCAGTGAATCAAGAGATTTCCTTTTACTTTATCCCAGAAATAAAGAGGTAACCCTTTTACTTTATCCCAGCAATATAAAGAGGTACCTCTATTAAGTACACATTATTCCCGCTCTGGGCGTCCTTGTCCGTTTTTACGTAATATAGGAAACAAAAGAGGGAAATAGAAAAAAGGTGTCATCATCGCAGTATTCCATAAGCGAACAACAAGAGTTTTTGTCACATGATGGGAACAATTACAAAAAAACGTTCTTATTCATTGGCATTGTTCTGAAATAACGTAATGACGTAACAAGTAACACATTTCACTGTGCTTGAGCCTCTCTCGGGGAGCGCCTTTTCCCGTTAAATCCTTCTCACACACTCCAAAGAGTTTCTAAAAAAGGGGGGAGAAATAACTAATTCAAAGTACAAGACCTTGGGTTCGGATGCCATTCTGTAGCATTCTAGAAGATCAGCCCGAGAATATTCACAATGGCATAGATTAAGGACAGCTCCTTCTTTCTTCGATTGCATCATTACTGTGTTTCACTATTACAGTATTAGACAGGAAGAACTTCTCAATTTGGACATTATTCTAAAAAAAGATACATGTATCGGGAAACAAGTAACTTTTTTTTTCCCGCGATTAACATTTCACATTACACTTTTATATTTATGCATTGTATCATAATCATGTGTATTCTTTTTATTCTCTTTTTTACTGTCGATTTCCGACATTCCCGACTTGTTTATTACGACCGATTTAGTTGTAGTTGGACTTTGCATGTGCATTAATTATTATCCAAATAAGGTTCGAAAAGTCGATGATCCATACGAATGAACGGAAAAGCAATCTTCCAAAATTAAGCTCGGTCTGTCAAAGTTCATACAGATATGAAGAGGGGGGGAAAAGGAGGGGACGAAAAGGGTGGTTTGTGGAGGGGATATAATCGAAATAAAGTTTCTCGATTCCTAAACTCGTGGTTCGGACGGGCCTGTCTTCCTTTCGAACTTTTGTGTGTGTGTGTCATGTCGATCGTTACTCCTCGTACTGCCGATCTGTAATATGTGTATGTATTAGTATCACGTTATCACTTATCGTTTCTATTTCTTTTTGTTTAATTGCTTGCAGAATTGTTATTGGTGACGTTAACTAAAAAAAGAAGCGAAATCATTTGACGATGTCGAAATCCTTACATCATTAAACATTCCCGGATCAATGGTATTTTGCATACTTATTGTTTTAAAACTTTTTGGTGTTTCAGACCTGAACACGTTTATGCTTTTGGTTTAGTGGATGGAACAGGGTAACTTATTGTAAAGGCTCCCCCACCCACCACTACCACTACCACCCCTTGCTACGAAAAACTGATTGTCAGCTTCATACACTTTCTTTGGAATGGTACCAAGAGACTATATATTCAAGATTGTATATATTACGTGGCCTTGCGTTCCGATCGCTGTTAAATGACACAATACATAATATTCGAGTGATCGATACGAATAAATTAACTTGCGCATACACACACACACACACACACACATATATATCCACATGGCTGCCGATTGATGCTTGTTGATGCACGATGAATAATATGCGAATGTTAATGCGAAATAAATTCCTACAACATTCGGCGATTCGCATTACAGGCGCAAACTTTCCTTGGTAAAGTCTATTTCTGACCTCATGGCTAATCTGAAACATGCTTTGCTGCGAAGACATTAGTTTCGTAACCAGAATGTCAAAAAAGCGTTTCCTACCATAGACAACAACAGATGGGATGAATTTGCTGTGCATGCATCAAAGATATTTGCATTGCAATTACGTCTCCATAGAAACCTCGTCCATCTTTAGAATATGTAAATGAAATGTCTGAACCATATAATGTAATAATCAATAGAATAACTATAACAATTCCTTTTTGATTCTTAAAGTGCTTACCACGGGAATAAAATGTTTCAGAAAATCTTAATGTACACGCGTGCGACACGTTTTACGTTTATTGAATATATGCTTTGTCAAACTTAAATTTGACATCACGGGTATGGAGAGAGAGAGAGAGAAGGGGGGGAAAGAGCTGCTTCGACTGGTTGTTTGTTCATACAAATGTGCGGATTGTAATTCTCTTTACACGAAAAAGTTCAAAGTTGAATACAATAGCACTACTACTATTAATCTCGGGCATCTCAAACGTTGTCAGTATTTGTAATCAATACTGTCGGATAGTCTTTAGTGGTAAAACAATAACTACAATGTTATAATTGGTTCGAAGACATTATACTGTGCGCTTACGATACGAGTGACAAAATTCATAGTGGATCCATACTTTACACAACTGGTCTGCTTGTCATATTAATATGACAGATCTCTTAATTGAAAGATATTGCATCCGTCGTTTCCATCAATAAGGTCAAAAACATTTAACATGCCAGTAATTCTTTTGTCCCCATGTTTGGTTAGAGCATAAATTTCTTCATCGCGGTCATAACTTTGACCGGAAAGAAACCATTTGTTCTTGCAAGATTATGACACTTCATATTAACATGTAGGACATGCTTACAGAAAATAGCTGATGTTCGAATTTACTCGTAAATCGGCTCCCTCGTGCGTTGATCTATCATCAAACAAGTTGCATTAGTCATCCTATTAATTAATTAATTAATTATTCTACATTGTGGCGGGAAGCCGATAGATCTAGCTCTTGTTCATTCTCCTCTCACTTTGTCTTTCATGAGTAAAGACGAAACCTTATCTTTGTAATTAGTGGTATTAAATCGTATTTCTTGTCTGGCGGAATTCGATACTTTTGTTCCACAATATGTGGTTTTCGTTACAGGCAGATAGATTACTCGAATTGTTATTTGTGCTGTTCCATAATGATTGGTATTTGATGTCTTCGTATCATGGATTTTGCTCAATCAACGTTCTCGTCATTCCGCATCTGATGTATAGCAATGAGTCGATAATGTAACAAAGGCTACTTGTGATCAGTGTTCATTTTTGACGTGAATAGGCGTGTCTTTATCCAACAAATTCAAATAGGAAGCGAGCATTGCTATTATGATTATCTCATCCGTCAAACTCAATGCATGTCTATCAGCTAGAGAATTCAGTAACAAAGGATAGACCTGCGCGGATGTGGTGATAATTATCATGCAGGAATAACTAAATATTCACTCGTTCACCTTCTTTCGTCTCATGAATAATGAAATTCAGAATTTTTTTCGATTCAATCCCCATCATTATTAGTAAAATTGCTTTAGAAGGTACTGAACTTCCATTTTGTAGACAGCCAATTATCCACAGCTAATTCCAAAGAAATAGTAATTATGATGAAGAAAAAAACCTGTCATGTTGCGCTAGTTATTTATCAAGCTGCTTGATAGCTGGGATCATGCTAGTAATAGTAATAGAAACATTTTAGAAAATATCAGGTTAAGAGTAATCCAAAAGTGTTTCAATACATTTCGATTGGTATTCCAAATTACAAATTGCTAAAGTATTATACTGTTGATGCGGTTGAATCCTAGCGATTCGATGTTCAGTGGATACGTAGACTTGAGTAACATTCGCGATCTTATCACAAAAGAAAGAGCAAGTTACATGTTCACTGGATAAACAGCAACATGTCTTTTATTATACGTACGTATACCTGGAATTTGGACATGTAGAGCATCATTGATATATTTACACTAAGACAAAGGTTCATAAAAAACATCATATTGAAAATGCAATACAACAAACATCTCCTGTGCCTGAATATTGTTGATACCTAAACCTATGTTATATTCTTTAGGCAGTTCTCAAGAATTGATACCATTTAACATTTGATAGCGGTGTTTATAGATGAGCATATTAGGCATAATACCATATTCCTCTCAAGAGCTAGCAACAAAAAAAAAACATACTCTTATGTCTGTGATGGATCAATATTATTTAATATACTGTAAATGACACTAGTAGCGTCCATAGATACGCACCGAATTTTATACTTGCGTTCGCAAAATAAGCAGAATCGAAGAAAACACCATCGTTCCGTCGTCCAGATGACAATCGCAGGCGTGTGGGCCTAAAGTGTTTGCCACAATGATATCGTAAATATAACAGATAAGCCGCGCACATGTGACTGTAATGATAACGTGCCTAGTGAATTGACAGAATAAGAATCAATAGCAATTAAACTTGGATGATTTTATACTATTCACCTTTAGAGAAAGAAAGCGTGGCTTACTTATTCGTGGTCATAGATGATTGTAAACGCCGAAA